TCAAATTGTTGTTTCGGGTCTGAGTGTCATGTGTATATGAAGTTGTATGTTTGTAAATGCATTCACGACACAGGAGAAAATTCTAGTGTAGGGCAATGTTAAAAAAACAGAGAGTTTTAAATAAACCTCGAAACCGTACATCATTAAGGTATACTGTTTTACACATGGTCTGAAATAGCTTGTCTATGTGGCGTTCCATTGAGCATGCTCAAAAATGTTTAAAAATCACCTCCAGCCTGTCGCCTCACAAACATGCCTCAAATGAGCGTGCTAATTTTGAGCCCCATTCCGACACACATGCTACTAAGTGACAAGTGCTTAATCAAAGCACGCTTTCGTGTATTAAATTAGCATGTGTAACAGTCCTTTATATTCTTTATTGTCACACATACAGGTAATAAGTAAGAAGAGAATTTTAATGAACATTTCCTTGCCAGGTCCGTTCATAATCCCCGGCGATCCAGGTACAGGTCTGTCGCCAGTACCTCCATTCATAGAGCAGACGTCCGAAGCGTTCGCACCTACCACAGACAACCCTAATGGTATTTTAGAACCGGACTCCAATATTACTTGTGAGTTGACACTAAATTCTACCGTTTTTCTTTTTTTTGTTGATGGCAACACCGGCTCGGTCGTCGTAAGATCAGATTTAATCGCAGGCCACATTGGCGCAACGCGTCTTGCGTCTGCGATGAGCGGGAAAAACATTCAAGTGGTTCGGCGGCCATGTTAGCGCGACTAGCGGCCCCTGTGACTTGGACTACACATTTGTAGAAATAGATAGCAGTGCTCTTTAAAAAACTAGCGTTTTAAACTGAGTTTTCCACTCTGTCTAGCGTTCAAAATATTACCTACATTCTCTTAAGTAGAAATGGCTTATGGCCTACCTGTGTACTATCATGGTTGATGATCATGTCTAGTCGATCTTTTATAGATGCAGTGCAGAGATATAATTTTCAACCTTATTCATTTGCATTAGTTTATAACTTAGCATGATTTCTATTCCCCATGTTGTTAGATTCACTGGATGGCTGCTGGTACATGTTCCCGCCTAACTACGGCTCCATCGCCGGTATCAGCTACTTGGACCCGCTCGCTGTCAACGAGTATCGCTTCACTTGCCAAGGCTCCGGGAACAAAGTACGTGGAATTTCATGTTTATTGTGATATGGTTCCATTGTAGTGACAATGGAACTAATAATATATGTGACTAGTTATAAATCTAACAATAAGGAGCAATTATCTCTTCACAACTAGGTAAAGTCTTGATCAGTTCTATTTTCTACTCAAATCGTCAAATCGGTAGCAGTAAAAAATAGCTAAGATGCTTATTGATCAGCCCTCCCTCTTTAAAACCGTACTCAAAATCTGTGGCTGGCTATTTTACTTTGAATTTGTCAGTATTAGGTAGTTGAAGTTTATCAAGATGACTATCATTACTAGCGTCTTAATCAAGAGCAGAATAGGGTCAAGTCATTGTAGACTCTAACACTCAAAAACATACATCTCATTTTAGAGTAACTACAAAGCAATAACCTGTCTTTACTTCCAGGGTCTGTATTGGTACCCGCAATGGATGGGCGCGTCCCCCCACCACCCGTACCCCGCGGCAGGCGACGGGCCAAGCTCTCTGACGCGACCCGTCGAACCAATCTTCTACCCCCACCAGCAAGCGAGCCCCCCCTCAACAAATTTATTGCCAGAAAGACACTGAATACATGCTTCCTTTACAAACTTATTAATGTGTTTTCATTTCTTTATAATCTATTGGATAAAGCGACTGCCCAGTCATACATGTGTCAAGACAACTTGCCTTGGCGTCCTTACATAAAGAAACAATCTTCTGGTAAACAGAAGGAAATGGAGTCACGAGCGTTTTTTATTTTTTTGATACATATTTTCTGATAAAACATAACAACACACCTTTTATCCCCGAACGGCTAGGCAGAGTTGCACATTATTCCACTGTACAATGTCACACCCGCTTTTCACTATTTATTTTATGAGTCCCATGTAACCGGTCCCCGCTACATGGGAATATACCAGGTACAATTTCAGACTCCGTGCTATTACTGCGAATGTTTAAAAAACCCAGTAATACTTTGCCCTTGCCCGGCAGTCACACTTGCGACCGCTTAGCCAACAGCAGTCAGCAGTTAAGTATATTTCGATTATAAATAGGTAACGTATTTCATTTTAAAAAAAAATAAGAAAATAAAGCACATAAAATAAATTTCACAGGAATAGATTTTACTCTTTTTGCATTTAAAAAATAAAGATTAAATTTTACATTTTATGTACAACAATACATCGGCTTCTCGTTAGAAATTCAGGTGTTGTGATCATCATCATTATCATGAACACCAGTCCACACGCGTCGTCTGCTGGACATGAATAATAAATTAAAATTATATTAATTTTGCAACGAAGAAATATTAATTTACCTATATGTTCCTACTGTCGTGGTGGCCCGGAGGTTTAAGACGCCCGCTTCTCTTGAATGAGGGGACAGGTTTGACGGCAACGGCAAGTACCAATGTGACTTTTTCCGAGTTATACCTCTATGTACTTTCTAAGATTATCTAGACACCACTGACAAACGGTGAAGGAAAACATCGTGAGGAAACCTGGACTTATAATTTCTAATTGTAAGTTTGTAATCGCCAACCCGCATTGAGCAAGCGTGGTGATTAATACTCAAACCTTCTCCGTGTGAGAAGAGGCTTTGCTCAGCAGTGGGCATTTATAGGCTGTTGATGATGATTGATTGACGTTCCTACTGAATAGATTTTGAAATTATGGTGACGAGTCCCATGTAATAGAGGGCCCTTCCCTTCCCTTTTGCCAACAATTTTTACATTAATCATTAATATTTACGTGATTTATTTCCATAATTAAGCCGATGTCGATATGAGACAACGTTTGTTTCCTAATCCCCAAAAGGCCGGTAACGCACTTTGAAAGCTTCTGGTGTTTCGGGTGTCCATGCCGACGCTGATTGCTTACCATCAGGTGGTCCGTCTGCTCGTTTACCGGCTTATATCTTGAAAAAAGTAAGACTATATATGGCCGCACCAAATAGCACTTTTTAGTGTTTCTATTCTTTACTGAATAGAGTGAGAAAGGGAGCGCGATTGTGAAATTGACGATGAGAAGTATCATTCATTTCACATCCATCTTGGCCTATAGTACAGATTGTACCATTACTGATTCGTTTCCAAAATGAAACCAAAACAAAATACGATTTTTAATAACCTTTATTCATATTCATAATAATCATAATTTACACAAACATAACGATACCTAGAGTCAACTCATTTAGTTGGGAGTTTTACATACTAAATATATTTAAAAAATAAATGTCCAATTAAATGTAAGATAAACATTATTGCACTTAATTTTAAATATATTTTAAACCAAAGGTTTTTAAAGTACACTTGAAGATATACATTATTTTTCCTGTAAATTAAAAACCCAATTCCATATAGAACGCTCTTATTACAAGAGCAATAAGGTCGTATGTCTATTATTAAAAATTTTGAAGAAATAATAATTTCTGGAGCTAATAAAATATCAATGGATATTTATAAATATATTTCTATACGGAAATAAGGTTTATGATGTTGGAAATAGAGTTTAAAATGCCTTGAATTGGGACTTGGTGTTGATGGAGTAACGCGCCTAATGTTGCCTAAATCATCACAAAAGCTGTCTAATGTTTTTAAATAGAGGCTCAGTTAGACAAGATGACAGGTCTTATTACAAAATGTATGAATTTTAATGCAGTATTAATAATTAATACCACTTTTTTTCAAATGGACATTTTTTAAGCTCATAAGGCAGCGTTTTATTGACATTTTAATTTAGCATTTATTTATTCATTCCACTCACAACTGATTTCTGGCAACACTAGTCACTTGCCATGTCAGCCCACTTCAGTGTTACCAGCGCTCAAATTATCACTATTACAATACATATCTACTTAAAACTATTTCAAATACCTATTTTAGTGGGATATCACACTTCAAATATTATTGTACCACATGTAATATTTGTAAGTAATTTGAAAATTAGTTCGTGGTTTCAACTCGTAAGTTTTAACACGAAAAAAAAAGGTCGATACAATAAAAATTTCTCATAAAAGAATAATGTATATAATAAAGAACATACATGTTTGTTTATGACAAACGGACAATATGTTATATGTTTTTATGTAATTTCATAACAATTAACTTTTTAACTTACTTCAATATTTTACTACCTACGGTTTATGAAGGTGCAAATACTTATATTTCGATGTCTGCAAATGCATATATTTCGACAGACGAGTTCAGGCAGCATAATATGGAATGGCTAAAAATAAATTCGTTAGAAATAAACTCTTCAAAACTTTGTTAGTAACACAAAAAAGGTGGATAAACGCACTCAGAGACAAAGACTTCAATTTTTGGGATAAACCACAGACTACATAATGCCTTTATGCTGTAGACAAGAATATAGATAAGTTAGAATTTAAATAGACAGAAATAATAGATGAGATTGAAAATTATTTAGTGTCATTGAAGGTATAATGAGATTTCACAGGCTTTTATGTTTTTCTGAGATTGAGATACATAATATCTATTTACTAAATTTTAATTTCGATGGGAATTTATGATAAAAATTCAAATATAAATCGGTTTTGGGCTAAAATGGAAGTAGACAAGAAAATGTATTAACATACTACGTAGTCTATAGTTATCCCATAATGGCAATCTTTGACATTACAAAATAAATGCAAAAAGTTAGGGAGGGCAATAAGGCCAGAGAAATGTGCACTTACACTAAAATAATACACAGTGTCCAAAGACAAAATGTTGATAGAACAAAATACATAAGAAACTTTTTCGTAGAAGTCATTCTGCAAATTCTTTTGAATTTTTGTTGATTACATGTATCGTACTTTTGAAGTAGGTGGCGCTTAAGTAGAATTAAATTAGTTTTCTTACTTATAAATTTTAGCATTGTAAATAACTTGGTTTTCTTTTAAAGGCCTAGTCTAAAACGATTACTACTAAAATTTTAATATTACACTCTATATCTCCATATGTAAACTGTGAACGATGAGATTTCTTTCTAGAAAACTAGCGCCACCAACTACTGAGTACAGATACACCAATCATTTCGAAAATCATCGTACATTGTTATCCTTCAATACAAAAAAGGTTTCTTTAAAATAAAAATACAACTATCGCCATTTTTATCTCCTACACTATGTATTAATTATAAAATATATTATTTTTATATCATGGTCAGGTCAGTCAACACACGATTTAATGTCCAAATCCGTTATATAACTTGCGCTAAATTGCGCAAAAAGGTTAAATACAAATAGTATTTATAACTAGCGCGACCGTTTTTTCCGTTCCTGTATGCCCGTCTCCTGGTTCTAATCTGTCTTCCCACCATAGCCAAATCGCTTGAGTTATAAATAATAGAACTAACACGACTTTCATAAATACATACGTATTACAGTGGTACAGTATGTAAATGTTGTCCTACATCTAAGCGCAACACGTAAAGGGTTTGCGCAATTTAGCGCAAGTAAGGTAAGATTCTTATAGTCACATATAATTCAGAATACAATCGATTACAATAATTATCTGAGCTGTATATTTATTACTTTAAGTAATTCTTATTGACAATACATTGAAACGAAGCTGACATTCTATACATCGTTTTACATGGCTTCGAGTTGAACGTGGCAATAGAGAGAACCCGACAATACTCGTTTTACACGATTCAACCTTACAGTTGTAAAGACTTGGTTGATTTTAGAATAAAAATAATCTTAGTATAAGCAGCTGTCAAAAACGAACCATATACAGTAGTTATAAGGGTTATATTTGAGTAATATGTAAATTAGGTGATGTAAAACGAATATTCCCAGGCAGTTAAACGCAAAAGCTTGTAATGTGCGCTGCGGGCTTTATGGAACATTGTGCGTAACACGATATACGTGACTATATTGAACTTTGTGTATTTGACATACGGATTATAATTGTTTGTCCGATTCCAAAATGCATATTAAGCTATTATAGTCGACATATGGTTCAGTTTAGAAGAGACAGTTGATTATTTGGAAAGTATGGCTGGTTTAGTATGACGTCACAATATGTCGCGACGCACAATGTACCCGGACTATATATTATCCTTACATTACAATATGGCCGGATCACTTCATGCTTTTTGCTCAACTACGTCATCAATTTCAAATTCCTTCTCCCAACTTTCGTCAGAATTGGCGCTAGCATCGTCTTTAACCTCTTTGTCACCGAAATAATCTTCAACTAAATTATTTCCACAAACGTCAGATTTTGGCGCCTTTTTCGGTGACCTGCCATTTTTATTTGAAGTCTTATTGTTCATCTTGTCTCTGGTTTGTGCGGTTTTTGATTTTTTATTGTCTGTGCTCGTTGTTTTATCTGTGTTGTTGTTGGCTATGTCTCGGGAACAAGTTTGTTTAGTCTTCTTACCTGCGATCTCCCTCTCGTATTCTTCTAGAAGTAGAGTTTGTTGTTCTTCTGTCAGTTCCACGTCGTTGGCGAAGTCTTCTGTACAGAAGTGCGATTATTGCGTGCATATATAGTTCCAGAACTTTCCATTATTTTCTGACTTTGATTAGATAATAAGCCGAGATATGGTGCACAAATAAATAAATACGATACGGGATTATAAAAACAACATTTAATACAGAGGTTTTATTCATGAAAATACAATTTGAGATTATATAATAAAGTAAGATTAATAAACAGGGACAATTCGAATCGATTATGGCTTACAGAGTAATCGATTACAGTATCGATTACTCGAAGCATCCATTGTATCGATATGCTACGACGGTAAATCTATGTTGACTTACCGTCTTCCCAAGTGACCACGTTGTCCATTTCGGGGGCTTCGAATGGCTTCTCTTCTTCCAAACCCGAGAGGACCTTCTTCGGGCTCCTAGAATGAGATTGGGGGACGTTTATAAGTTTGTGAGCTGAACTTTTACTCCTCAATTACAGTTGTCAACATGATACATCTTAATTACATTAAAATTAAGTTCAAATGAAATTATTAAACAATTTTGCGTGAAGATCAATTCCACTTGGATTTATCGGTTAACGTGGAAGATTTATGCTAATTCTAATTCTCTGATATTGCTGATGATCCGTTAGCTTATTTGGCCTTCTCATCACAAAAACAATTTTAAAATCCATTGTTTAAGATCCTGTAAAAATGGAGGGCTGCTCCTGTATAAGGACTATAATTTTACATACATACATAATCCCACGCGTCTCCCATGGGTGTTTTTTTTAAGGAGGGAAAATCATCGAATGACCTCCGCTTGAGTGAGGCGGGAGACTCAGACTCTTACTGACTAAAAACCACCCCGTTCCTACTTATGCACTTCGAGCCGGAGCCCCGGTAACCCGTTAGGTTCTCCGCGGCTCCGTATCGGCATCAGCCCTATTGGACCCCATCCGTGGGGGTCTGATGGCACTTTGAGGGGCGCGTGGAATGCGACGCGCCGTACGCTCGGGGTCTCCCATGGGGTTAGGCAGAGATTATAGAACGTCAATTGCTACGATTCTTATATAATTATAATAAAGTACAATACTGACTGTACAACGGGCGCGGCCGCCTGCATGGGTAGGTGTGCCAGTACAGGGTCGGTAGAGGGCTGCTCCTGGGGCTGCTTGCGGGCCGCCGCCGCCAGGCGGTCCTGTAGCAAGGCCACGCGGAATAGATACCTGTGGAGGTAATAGAGTGATTAAACTGTCAAACACCAAGCGGTCAGCGGTGACCGCAATCTATTGTTCTATTATTGTGTCTATAATGACGGTACTCGACGAGTTAAACTACAATTAATTCCACTACAAAATGTACCTGGGTAGCAGACCCATTATGCAATTTGAAGCGATCGGCTCGACTTTGAAAGTAGTTTCAAGTAGTGGCGTGCGTGACGTAAAAATCATCTAATGACCTCCCGCCTTGGGCGTGGCAATAGGGAGTATCAGACTCTTACTGACTAAACCTTGTTCCTACTGCTGCTCTTCGCGCCGTAACCCCAGCAACCCGTTAAGTCCTCCACGGCTCCACGTAACATACGCTATATTTCATCTGACAAATGAGAGTTCTGGACACCCATTTTTGCGCAATAATTTTTGTGGAAAGTTAAAGATTCCAAACTGTGCACAAATTGCGCGATTTAATATAAAATTATATGATCAATACTAATGATACCTTTGAAGTTGCTTGTGTATTAAGTCTACGCAGACAGTTTAACATCAGACGGGCCTAAAACTTTGCTACGACTAAAAGTAGCATAAAAAACATTCTTACCTTTCCCAAAAATCGTCATGAGAGACGGCATCGGGCACAAGTTTGTCGTACTGTGCCTTGAGCGTAGGACTGGCCTCGAGCCGCCTGGCTGCGGCGGACAGACTGATCAGGCCGGCCTCCGACGACTCCAGGCTCCCGCGCCAGGCCTCGAACTCCGCGCTATATGCTGGTACTATGAATGTTGCATCTACGCGCTGGAGAGCTTCTAGTTCTTTCTGTATATTGGAAGAAGGCAATAACATTTTAAATAATGTTTAGAGTACAGATTAATTCGCAATTTTGAGGCATATTCGGAATAAGCAGTGCAGCAGCGAATAATCATGGGTTAAGATGCCCGCTTCTCATGCACAAGTGCGCGGATTCGAAATCTGCCAACGGCAATTACTAATGACACGGCATTTTACCTGAGCACTGGCCTTTTTGCACCGGGGACTTTTTTTTGGAATGATATGTATTTTCTAGGATTATTTAGACACCATTGACAAACGGTGAAGGAAACATCGTGAGGTAACTGAGCTTATAATTTCCAATTATAAGTTTAAAATCGTCAATCCGCATTGAGCAAATGTGGTGATTAACTCGTCGAGTACCGGTTTTGCAGACACAATTATAGAACAATAGGTTGCGGTCACCGGTGACCGCTTGGTATTTGACAGTTTAATGCTTAAACCTTATCCGTGTGAGAATAGGCTTTGCTCAGCAGTGGGCACTTATAGGCCGATGATGGCAATCATGGTTAATAGATGGGTAAGTTGAGATCTAAGAGTGAAGATCTAAGTGATAAAAAAGAAAAATATGTTAAAACACAAAATAAATATAAGCATTGGTCATGTAAGGAGTCATATGGATAAGAAATAATGAAAAATAATGCATATAGGATTGGATATAGGATCAGTAACATTTAAGAAAAAAAAATGGAAGAGCTATGTAAGTAATCATGTCTAATAGAAGGTTGATATATGATTGCGATGAGATTACCTTGTAAGTGGACAGCATGGTGGTGTCCCCAGATGACAGGATCACCTCTGTGTCATCATCGTCATCTGGTTCCGGGTTCAGCACTGTGCTGACTTGACCTGGACGGATACATCGAAGTTTATATTATTTACTCGTAAAGCTGAACTTTATTTTGTCAAGCCTTGTTCGTGATTATGACGGTAGAATAAAATAGATCAGTAAAGGTGCACTTGTAAAATGTCGTGGTGGCCCGGAGGTTTAAGTCGCCCGCTTCTCAAGCATGAGGGTGTGGGTTCGAAACGTACCAACGGCAAGTACCAATGTGACATTTTCCGAGTTACATGTACTTTCAAGACTAGACACCACCGACAAAAGGTGAATGAATACATTGTGAGGAAACCTGAGCATATAATTTCTAATTTATTATAAGTTTGAAATCGACAAATCGCACTGAGCAAGCGTGATGATTAATGCTGAAACCTATCCCGTGTGAGAAGAGGCTTTGCTCAGCAGTGGGCATTTATAGGCTGTTGATGATGATGATGATGAAAGGGGCACTTTATGATTAAGTAAGTAAATTAAGTGATTACTCAGTACTAACCAATGAAGCTGCTGAGGCTTTTCTTCATTACATTTGCTGGTGACTCTGGTACATCCAACTGCGGAACCAAATTAACAATTGTTTTAGTGTTTCATTACTTTTTGTGTGTTGTACAAAATTAAGGACTTGACTGCATGGCGCGGTGGCTGGGTAACTGGCTGCCGCGCAAAGTATTGCGGTTTCGATTTCCGCACGGAACAAATCTTTGTGTGATCCACATATTGTTGTTCTGGGTCTGGGTGTGATGTGTATGTGAACTTGTATGTTTGTAAACGCACTCACGTCACAGGAGAAAATCCTAGGGTGGAGCAGTCTTTTTTTTAAACAAGAGCTATGTCTCTTTCTTAGCTACAGTCCAGAATATTCTTCAACCATAGTTTAAGACTAACATAAATATAGTCGGTGCTTTATGTCCTCTCATCAGGTGTCCAGATGGGGGCGTCGATTGCTTACTCTCCCGATCTCCCTCATTAAAAAGATCCTCTTTCTTAAAATGAGTTACCTTCAGCGTCTTCCCGATGACAGTGGAGGTGGTGCTGAACACGTGGCTGGCCTCGCTCTTCACGGCGGTGCCTATCTCGTCCAGGTCCTTCTTCACCATAGTGTACACTTCTGCCGACTGGAAACCAAATAATATCGATTAAAAGCTGAGCTTATGTTAGATTTTTATGATATTTTTTTCTTAGACGGCATGTGTAAGTTTCTGATGGCCTAGCTATAGAATGGGTTCCCAAAAAGCATGCCATCCTTGACTCATTTCTATTTAGACTTATCATTTCTATCTTTCATTCATTAATATATGATATTTGAAGATTTTTTTTTCCTTTCTTATAATATTTTCTGATTTACTTCGTTGCGGGAACCAAGACAGTTAGTTACTCATGTCCCTGGGACGCGCCGGACTTCAGTGTTCCGGTGTTTTCATGGTTGTAGATCCTGGCTTACAGGAGTTGCAGCGGTTTTGGGAGGTTGTGGCGGGCTTGTCCCAAAAAAGTGATATTTGCGATAAAAAAATTTTGACGTCATCAGCTGGTTTGATAGAAAATGATCGTGAAATTGGATAAAATTATTAAAAAAGTTTGCAACTGCGACGCAATTAATATTAATCGAAAGTAAGAAAACTCGAAAGTAAAAACAAAGACAAGTTTGCAATTCGTATTTTTATCTAGCGTACACCGGTTATTACTTAAAGTTTTATCTAGATGATAATATATCTCTGTATATAGCAATATAAATACGGGAGATAAAGTTCATATTGTTTACAACACTGGCCTACATAGATTATTATAATGTATCATATAGCCTATACAAATAAGGTGAAATTTTGATTAGATGAAAAATTATTTGTAGACTATTTATATAACTTTCTTGAATGAGGACAGAGGAAGTGTCCTAGAAATCTTCGCATATCTTTGTTAGCTTTTTTTTCTCGTTTTTGCTTCTATTGTGCCTGATGCTGAGCGGTCAAAGATGGACCACGTCTGCCTATAAGCAACCTATTCACTTGAGACTTGGAAGATAGCGAAGTCCCCTTCGGGAAACAAACTCTAGTAAAGCATTCCACTCCTTAACGATTCTTACCAAAATACTTGAAGTGAATTGAAACGCTTTATGCAGTGATTCAGTGATGGAATCAGTAGCTGTATATTTGCGTGACAAATTAAGTGTAAGGTGTAAGTAAGTTTAGCCTATCTAAGATAAAAGTTATCACCATACCGAATTTCCCTCGAACAACCAACTTAAGGTAAATAAACTGTAACGAAGTATTTCTTTTAAAAACTTGTGTTTATATCCCGAACACCTATATTTAGCAGAGGCTTAAATAGGTCGTACAATTGTGGACTTTCCTTAGTCAAAAATAAATTATTTCGATTGTTCATTACAATAAAATACAAAAAAAAATAATCACACTTTCATTTTGTTGATTTTATGACCAACTTAATTTTAGTTTTTTTCCAGCAAATTTTTAAGAACTGTTTGACTCTAATAAAAACGTCACGTCACGATTCACAATCTCGTACAAAATTCATAGAAAACATAGTTTTTGACAGTTCGAAAAAAGTATAGAATTTGACTAGTTGGCAAGTATCCTATTGTAAAGAACCGGACAAAACCCATCCGTATATTGGTTTGTACAGGTACAACCTAAGAGTTCCTAGAGATATGTATGATTTATTATCATCAGTCGGAATTTCTTACTCGGAAGACTGCTGAACAAACGCCCCATCTTTATCTTGGATCCAGTGACTAGAGAAAATAACCTTAACCCTTAGAAAGCCACGTCAGTCACCGGTGCCTGACGCTAGTGGAGGTTTGACTTTCACCATTTTAAACTTGGCAGTTAAAGTGTTAATGACGATGATGTGATGCACTTAATAAGGTAAAAAGTAAAAAAAAACGTAACGCAAGTTTAATTGCAAATAAAAATCCGAAAGTATGCAATTGATTTCATAATCCTTTCACCACATAACCTAAGTTTTAGTTAATACAGGTATCAAATATAATACTTTAGACGGACGTTATCACCCAAGGACGCGACTTACTTGCGTAATCTTAATAACTATAAGGTCAAGGGTATAGACTTATAAAAAGTTCGATAAGTTTATTTTACTTGATAAAATCTAACCTCATGTAATCTACGTTTATTGTATGACATACATATTTTATTGTTATTATATTTTTGTGGGATCGCTTGTACTAAAAAAGGAAGATTTTTTACTACAAGCAATCCGAGTGTCTGCATACAGGCAAGGCTTTTTTTACAAAAAGAGATGTTACTTGTCTCATATTGCTGAATCTACGTATAGATCATAGTGAAAATATAAAATTTTATTGTAAAATCCCTAATCACTATTTCCCGTAAAAGTGAATGGTGAGGAGTGTTTAATGTTAAGTGTGATGTGTCATTAAAAATATTATTGGGCTCGTGAATCAAAGCGTCGAACACTTGATCAACTATTTGCTAACTTTATAAAAACATCAAAAAGGAGATTCAATTAGGTATAATCTCATTACCTAGACACATTACGTTTTAGGTCCCAATACATCCCCCCAAGGAACACCCACACAATACAAGTTTGGAAACACCTTATTTATAGACCGGTGTTTATACAAACACTGATTTTAAAGCAGTATTTAATAATTAATGCTTTCAAACAAGTTCTCAAGGCAACGATGCATTGAACGAATATCATTACACATGTTTTAAATACGATGACCTTATCGAACGCTGTTGACGAATCAAAGAATATACTCTACGGAATATTTTTATTTGTTGTAATTTGTAATAAGTTGGCGCACAAGGTGTCCAGAAAGAGGTCACTTAGAGCATTGGTATTATTTCGCTAGTTAGAGATTTGTAACTCATTTGTCGTTATCATCTGCGAAACTAATTATTGTTAGATATGAAACGTTGCATTTTGGTATTCATTGCCAATAATGAGGTGAAGTTGATTTAGTCACACTGTTTCACACTATTATATTGTGATAAATATTTAATCATTTCACACAACTCTTTGATAGTGTTATAAGTACATACCAGGAAGTAGGCACGTGGCCTTTCATTGGTTACGTTAAGGAATGCCATTACCAAAAGATACTCCGTCGGAAAAAGTGATAGAAAGCTATATAAAATCTTTATAAGTAATTTTTTTACTATCAACATTCTTCTTAAGATAGTTTCCAAGATTAGCCATTGCTGAATATAAGTAAGAAACTAAAACCAAAATCAAAAACACATTTGACGCACCAAGGAGTTTATTTCTTTTGCTTAAAACTTTTTGTTTCCAATCATCAATGCCGTCTTTGTTTACGCCATATGGTGCAAAAATACTAACTTTTTTATTTGATAAGTTTAGTGCAGAGCAAATTAGACCCACATACATAGATACAGAGTTCATTTTCGCATGTGTAATGTGAAAATTAGTTATCCAGTGATTACTGACGTACCTATATTTGATCTAGAATGAGTCAATCTTATTTCCACTGGTGTTGATGACCCCGGTAGTTTCATGATATATTTTCAGTAGCATATTGACGCGAGTACAGTATTATAACTGTTATAGCTTAGTGCTAAATAAGCTATGATAGTGATTTTCAGTACCAATATGCGCTCGTTTTTGAGAAGTACACACAGGTACCGCCACTAGATTAACATTTTTTTAAACTTTATGATTTAGTCATAATAAAGTCGTAAATCTATTGAAAAACTGATTCACATTGAAGTAGATTGAGTTGTTGAGTTGAACCTTTCTACGCCATTGAAGGAAGTCAAAACCTTTTCGGGCAAACGTAATGTAGGGCACCCTCCAGCCTCCAGTTCAGTTAGGTGGAGGGACGATATCCGCAAAGGTATAAAATAAATAAATAAAGTGCTGAAGATCGGGCTCAGTCTGTTATTGGACATTATTCGGTAGTGGTCGGAAACAGGTTAATGATGCTGAACTGAACCTTATTCCTATTGGTCACAATTTTGGCGGCGCATTTTTTACGTAGTTAGTGAACTTGTATGTAAACTCCGATTCAACATTGCCATATAAACTGTTTCTTTATTCGTTAAACGGTTGAACGCACTTCGATTAGATACGCGACGATTAGTCATGGCGAATAATTCAAACTAACGTGATTCAATAACTTATTTTTATATAGTCATCAGTAATTCAAAACATTATATTTTAGTAAGTTATTGATTTTTGGATGTCATTTGTAGATGGCGCTCGTAACGAGTGCACTTTTGAGGTTTTATTTAATCAGTATGCATCCTCTTTTGATCAAGGACCTGCCAATGACATGATAAGAGCAATAAAATTAGATATGGAATATGAATGGCAATAACTGAGAGTTGAGCTGAAGGGCGATGGGAAAATGCTGCTTATTTGTATTATTGCTTTATTGTATTCTACCCAAGAATATTACACGGAATTTCTGTTAGAAAAATTAAAAATAAACTATACAAACAGGTAAATAAAATAGTTATTAAAACGTAAATAGTTAGAACAAAGCTGCAGGATACAAAGGTAATGCAAATAATAATCGTAAAACAAAGCAAATAACAACTTCCTAAGAATGAATATAAAGAAAAAGAAGCAATAATATGAGTAATGATACTAATTTTATTAATGCAGTTTATAATAATTTTTACTTTTTAATTTTTAGAGTGATAGAGAACTTCATCTGAACAATATGCTGCTTTATTTCTAGTGGCTGTTACATTGCCAGAAGAACAGAAGTCTGATATTGAGTCTTACAACTGCAATTTAATGATCCTAACTCTGCATACCATTGGTGTATGACCCAGTACAGTAGAGAAACTATTCATATGTAACATTATTCTTTTAACTAATAATCGCGGGTTACTCACGTGAATATACTGAGAAAAGCTCTACTAGTTTCAGACCACAGAGGGGTTTATCCTCATGAGTAGCGTGCGCGGTCACGGCGATATCGCGCAGCCTACTGACTTTAGCATGTCTCACGATAGTTATTATAAAACATTTATTCTTTTGTAAACAACTTAACTAATTCCCAAGAGAAAGGGAGTCATGTGTAATTTTGTAGCTTACCTTGGACTTAGCGGAAGATATCCAAGTATCCCACCAGTTGCCAGACTGTTGGGCCTCCTGTCTCGGAGTACTGGCAGGCTCGCTCGGACTTGATTCACTAGACCTGTGTAAAAATTATACTTTTAACACATTAAACTTCATGGGGGATCACAAGTGCCCGACATTAGCGAAGGATTCACCTTCAACAGTTTTCTATTGGCAGTCAAAACCTTTAGAAAGCATTCTAAGGAATTGGCCAAGTTGTTTGATTGCCTGACCGATGGTGATGACAAATCATCATCTTCCTACATCATCATTCATTGGATCATGATTTACTGAATTTTTGCTCTATTTTAAACCAACATTGACTGCCTCTGCCAATTATTACTAGGTTTTAAAAAATTCTCAGTAGTAGTATGGAGTCTGGAAATGTGCCTGGTATATCGCAATGGGCTCGCACCCTATTACATGGTACTCATAACATAAATAGTGAAAAGTGGGTGTTACATTGTACAGTAGCATTAAGTGCCGTAAATGTGCACCTCTGCTTAGCTCTTCGTGGATAATAATAATAATGTAAACAGTGTCAGTGGACAATAATTTAGACTATGTAAATTACTGTCTATTGTTTTGCTGCAAGTAGGTTAATTTTAAGTGACCAAATTAGAAATGAAATAGTATAAAATAAATAGTAATTATAAAGTACATCTCAAAACTATGTTCAAGGTCCAAGCAACATTAGCATGAATGTACTATCTTCCTTTCTAAAAGGATTCTTTGTCTTCCATCAATTTACATAAAAACAAGCATGTCTTTTCCTAGATATTTATTAATTTTTCTATTCATTTAGGGGAGGGCTAAAGATATACTGGTCATCCGTGGATGTCTTTCAGCTGATGTGACTTAGGTAGTCAAGTTGTTAAAGGAATGCTTTAGCATGCCGTCATCTAGAACTGTCTAGAAGGTCATTAAGATTATTGTAGGCCCTAAAAGATTTGATATCTGTTTAAAAGATTCATAAAATTATTATGTAACAATAATATCATACATTATCTCAAATGTGTTCAACAAAATATTAAGATTTATGTTTTTGATACCTATAACACAACATAGGTAATCAAGATCAAGTTAAAATGATTGATTATGATTATCATTAAGGCAAAGGCAGGCAACCATTCTGATAAAAAAAAACATGCCAGCATTATTTTTGTTTGTGTCAACACAAGCTCTAGTCTGCTTTAGAAAAAAAAAATGAATTAATTAAGAAAAGAGGTTTAATAACTAGAGATCTCCATCTTGAAAATCAGCATGTGGGCATTATTTCAACTTGTATAACACAGCTCAGCAAATGATTTCTATAAAAGTAGTTGTAGAGAAGAATTATGTCAACATCTAGTTAGCACCGAAACTATTCGGTTGTTACTGTTATGCGCCTGACATTACAGTTTGATTCGCATTCGCTTTGACAAACTGAGCAAATAGGAAGCAACGAATACACATCATAAATTAATACCATGACCTTTGTGAAACATTTCTTATGTCTCCACAAACATATAACTAGTGCTAACAATAAAATTTTACGACAAATCTATTATCAAAACAACGCATTTTTTACTTTTACAATTCTTTCTACGATAAGCATAGAATGTTGACATGGATTTTGTGGTAGCGTAAATACATAAAACAACTTACTTTTCAGCCATCACGACGTTTCTTTATTATATACACAAATAAAAGGAGCACATGGATTGCTGCACATAAATTGTTGTGTGATTTTGTTGTTGTTTTTACACGAAATTTAGAATTAATTTTGACATAGTTTTGTTTGCGTTGACATAAGGATGCCGTTCCGTTACAAGTAGTGTTAATGAAACGTGTGATATTTTAGCGTCACGATTTTGTATTTCTGTCTCATATTTTTTTGCTACTTATATTTATTTTATGCGTTTTTAATTTTATATTATTTTCTTATATACAAAATCGTTTATCTTTGTTTACTTGGCTGATTAATTTTAAAGATTCTCGTTTACAAAAACGGAACGTTTACCATTTTTAAGTGAATGTAGTTCTAGACCTCACCCAGAGATGGTGTTGTTCTTTTATTTTTTCTCCTTCCAATTTTTAAAGTAAAATGACAGAATAGTGCAGAAACACCAGTGTAAATTTGAAAAAATCTCAGGTATATATAATGAACGAGAAGGTTCGAAAATACTCACTTAAATTATCCTGCCAATGCTCTGCCCACATCAGTCATGCACAGATGACTTCAAAAAATGTTAACATCGGTTTGCATTTCCTGTACCAAAAAATCAAACAAGAACTGTTTTTCCCATACATTAAACCTTCAGAATAAAGCAACATACAAAACTAAATAATGATTACGGCTAATTATATTAATTCGTCGATGCAAAATATTAATTTGCGTTGAGAGAGGCGCTATCTTCAATCTTCGCTCCGTCGATTATTCAATAAGGCATTGAAGCGGATTTTTATAAATAAATCCTTGCGCTTAGCTCAAGTATTGATGTTCATGCTACGATTAAGATGGGCCATGTTTGTTTTAATATTCACCTCTCAGCTATGATGAAGTTGTCAGCATTAACTTAGATAGAAACTAATGTAGGTACTAAAGTATTTCTTGTAGAATTAATTTAATTGAATCACGGGTTTTATTTATTTTATTTGAAAATTGTATAATATACAGTTTTCAAATTTTAATAACTACCTTTGAAATATTATTTCAAATAATTTTTTACCTTAAATAGGGACAGACTAGTCAAACATATTAGAAGGTGGCTAACGTTAAATAAGAATTTAACAACAAATACGTGTAGGAAAATAAAAGTCGAAAAAAAGAATAAAGATAAAGACATTTATTTGCGTAAAAACATGGTATACAAAGATGTTATAGTTACAATATAATATATCATCATGTTTTGCTTAATAAATAAAGCATGCAAATTTTAACTTAAAACTTATTTTAACTAACTTATATATAATAACTATAGTTATTTACCCTAAACAGCACCAACTTTGATTTAAACAACGAGACTATTTAAATTATAGGGAAGTCCCACCTGTATCCGAATATCTGCATTGATCACAGACTACAAAACTGTCATCCGCAAAAAAAACAAGACCATCTTTACCGTGTCGTATTTTTAAACGTTCGTTGCATGTATTTTGTAAAAGCTGAATATTGTAATAAATAATATTTGCTTTGGGTTCGCGGGTATCCGTGCACACCCATTGTTTGCCGATCAAGAGATTCAGTGCAGCTTTCTTCGTTATTAATAAGTGCTTGCGAACGATGTTGTAACGGCCTACTTGTACAGGATGATGGGAAATTGGGAACATCATCTTTAATAGGGACTTTTTTTTATAATTTAGTCTTTTAGGTTTGATATTTTGTAGAGGTATTAAAAGATACGATAAATGGCCACCTACAAAAATATAGGTACGTAGAAATTTCCATCAAGGTAATACTGTGTGGATATGTTTATGTTTTTTATAAAACAGAAACAAGTTACTTCTGGAGGAAAATGGGGGCATCACGTAGCAGATTTGCCGCGGAGGACTTAACGGGTTGCCGGGGCTCCGGCTCGAAGGGCAGGAGTAGGAACGGGAAGGTTTTCAGTCCGTAAGAGTCTGACACCTCCCGGCTCACCCAGGCGGGAGCAGTCATTCTATGATTTTCCCCCTTAAAAAAAGTCCTACAGATTTGTACACAACCAAGAATGTGATTGCTATTCTAGGCATAACAATTACAGTTCAACGTCTGAAGCACTCGTATAGCAATCGAAGATGAGACAGACAATAATATATCACCTCACATCACGTGCATACATCGCTCACCTCGACTCATTGATTACTCCCACATCGATTAATCTCACTAATAACCAACATCCTGTCGACAAAAATCTGAATGGATAATCCTTCGTATAAACTATAGCTAATAATAATACCTACGTGAAATGATCGACGCGGCGCTGCAAAGTTCATCGCTCAATCAGCGCGCGCGCCGCCGGCGGTGACGTCATCTCTCGTGAGGTGCCCCGCCCCGCCGAGAGATGGCGCTGTACGATCTTAGCGTAGATCCCAACCCTCACGCTTCGCCGTGTGTGGTTTGATGAGCGTTGTAAGGGTTTGATGAACTTTGCGGTTTTTGCATAATTTTTGGTCTTGAATGTTGATTAAGATTTTGTAAGTGGTGTGGGTATGTATGTAAGACCGAATCGCGACTGTCGCGTTAGTCCACTGGATGTAATGACGATGATGAAGTCTCAGGTTCGATTGCATGGTCGTAGGAAATTAGTAGTTATGAGAATCTATAAGCTATGTTTACAGATCTATCGTTAGTGAAAAGGCGTCAATTATTTTCATATGCTTTGCGTAACATACTGAAGAAAATTCAGTAATGTCCATGTCTCATGTAGATAATATGGCCATATAGATACTTAGAAAGTCAAGCAAACTATACCTAGTGTCTTCACTTAATTTTGTGGTTTGGACAGCTCTAAATACTTTCTTCTATATTTGTGAACGTATTAAATCTATCTAAATATGTCTGGAGCGTAATGTCGTGGTGGCCCGGAGGTTAAGACGCCCTCTTCTCATACATGAGGATGCGGGTTCGAAACCTACCAACGGCAAGTACCAATGTGACTTTTTCCGAGTTATATGTACTTACTAAGATCTAGACACCACTGACAAACAGTGAAGGACAACATCGTGAGGAAACCTGGGCTTATAATTTCTAATTATAAGTTTATAATCGCCAACCCGCATTGAGCAAGCGTGGTGATTAATGCTCAAACCTTCTCCGTGTGAGAAGAGGCTTTGCTCAGCAGTGGGCATTTATAGGCTGTTGATGATGATGATGATCTCTGGAGCGAGAGTAGAGTTAGAGTAGATATAGGTACCAAATTAACTAAAAATCGCAGGTTACTCACGTGGATATAATGAGTAAAGCTCTACTAGTTTAGAGCTACAGAGGAACTCTTCCTTATGAGCCATAGAGAGCCTCTTGCTAATACTTGAATAAAAGTGTTCATTTTAATTGTACTTTTATATTTAACTTTAAATCCACACACATTTTAGCCGGCGTGCGGCAAAACTAAGAAGAAAGACACAAAAAAATAAAGCAGTGTTGCCCATATAAATGTATGTACATATACCTAACTAACAGTTATAAAATTCTGTAATTGACATTATTTCGGAATTGACGAGCCGTTGTGTTTTTTCATCTTAATGTTAAAACTTACTGAATTTCATAATGCGCTGTGGGAGCTCATTAACTGCGCTGTCGCGTTAAATAATCATTCCAAAACAAAGATTTCCACGGAAAATAAAAAGATAACTTTTTGGAAACGGCTACTTTTGTAAAAGGGGCTATCCTCTTAGATAAATAATGATCTTAACTCTAATGGAATTGCATGAATACAATTGGTAACGTATGAAATTAAATAAACTTGCATTATTATCATTATATTATCCACAAGACGACCACTTATGAACATAGGCCTCCCCCAATGACTTCTAAGTTCCAGATATGCTAGTTGGAAGCGACTTAAACCTGCGTATAGATTGTCCAGTCTTCGCATCTTTAAACTGATACTATAATTTAATTTATCAGACGTTAACTAGTAGAGCTCTGCTCGAAACTAGTAGAGCTTTTCTCAGTATATTCACGTGAGTAACCCGCGACTTTTAGTTAACATTTTAATAGCTTCTAACAACAACAATTTTAATTAATACGTCTACTAGGTACCATCTTCAACCCATACTAGGCAAGTACTAGATCTGAAAATACAATGTAAGTACTTAACAACGACGATTAGTCATTCTTATTTCTAATTCATTTACCTACGTAGTAAGGTCATATCTTGCGAAACTGTAAGATATTAAATAACTACGATTGTTTCGTTCACCGTCCGATCGTTTTATTGATTGGCTGGAAAAATCGTGCCTTTGCTATTAGGGGTTGTATATGGAGGCAGGGTCGTGGGACAAGTCCTAGTTACATGCAGATTTAGATGATTAAAAGTAGGTATCTGTAAACCTCCATGGCTCTATGTGAGGAGAGGTGTATTCTCAGCGGTGGTATGATCATAGGCTGATGGCGATGATTTGTAAAGCTTTAAGCCTATCATTTAACTGTGTCCATAATAAGTATTGTTGACAAACGCAATGTTGTTTGTTTCATCTAATACCTAAATAGGTCAATCTGGCTGTAATGCTGTGCAATTACTACTGTTACTGTGCTTCTATGTTCGGTTGTTATTGAGATGTTTGAAAGTTATAGAATAACCCTGAATGTGTCCACGACTGCGATTGCTGAAAAAGGCTTACCAAAAAGTCGAAAATGCTGATGTGGGCAGAGACTGACTTCACTGATAGACGGGTCTCTCAGTATCTGGTCTGAGTTTAAGGACAGATCTGCTGAAATCATACTACATGGTCATCAGTTGCGAGGTAAACAGTAAGAATTGCGTACGGTCGCTACTGTTGCGTCTATAATAAGAAAGAGTAAAAAAAAACTTTTAAAATTGGGAACAAAACAAATCCTTATCTCTACTACACCATGAGTCGTAAAGGAAACCTGTTTACCTAATATTGTGATATCATCGGGTTTTACTTTAGAATCTGAGCTACCAAGTATGCCACTGGACACAGAGATGTGTGAATTATTGAAATCAGATCTATTCCCCTTAGCAATAAATCATCTTAATAAATTCATATTATTACTATTCAATAAGCATGGCCACCTTACTCACCGTGGGCGAAGCGTGGGTGCCCTCGCGCATCACTATGTGATGCACATTAAATTTGATTGTTACTGCAAC